CAAATTTTCAAAGATGAATGGTTCACTAACCTGGTGAAATGCTATCGTCACCCCAGCGACCACCACGATACTGCCAGCGATGACCAAGGCTGGAGGGGACATTACTCGGGCTGGGGTCGGGTTAGAAAGACTCAGTGAAAGCTTCCTACAATATGCTTGATGGAATGGTGCCAAACTGTCAGCGTCGTTGAGCACAAACCCAGTCTGTGGCGTTGGTAGTCGGCAAGACCCAGGCAGGTGAGGCTGGGGTGGGCATTGCTAATCTGGGGTTCTAATTGTATATTCCCTGCGCTAAGTCTTGATCCCTTTCTCGTTTTTCTTAAGTCTCAAGAAATGTCTGAGTATCAAGAATTGGACGGTAGGAAGAATATCGAGGCCATCTACCTTGTCTGATAGCTCTCTCGGTAGTCGTTCTAGGGATCATTGGAGGTAGCGGGCTCTATCACTTGGATCAGTTAACATTTGTGTAAGTACACTTTGATAGGAACTTCTTTACAAATAAAGCTGAGCTTTGTTTTTTCAGCAAGGAGATCGATATAACTACGGTTAGTCAACCAACCTTGTCCGACTCTTGCCACCCTAACTCTAATGCCAATTTCAGCCATGGGGGAAGCCATCCTCTTCAATCACGATATCAAGTATACCTACTGGAGAAAAAATAGCGTTCATAGCCCGTCACGGGACTCATCATACCATCCAGCCGAGTGCAGTTCCTTTTGCCGCTAATATCGCTGCCTTAAAGCGTCTCGGTGTCAAAGCCATACTCGCTTTCTCTGCCGTGGGGTCACTAAGGGAAGAAATACGCCCCGGTGACTTTATCATTCCCGATCAGATCATTGACAGAACCAAAGGCGTTCGGCAAGCCAGCTTCTTCGACGGAACGAGGATGGTTGCCCATGCTGCGTTTGGGGATCCTTTCTCCAGGGCTTTCTCCAAGATTTTGACCCCCTTGGTTGAGAATACCCTAAAAGAATCGTCGGGAGGTGTGCATTTACATACCGAGAAGACCGTTGTTTGTATGGAAGGGCCACTATTCTCTACAAGGGCAGAAAGTAACATGTACAGGGCATGGGGAGGAGATATCATCAACATGAGCGTCTTACCAGAAGCAAAGCTAGCCCGTGAGGCCGAGATAAGGTAGGTGACCATAATTCTAGGCCATTCCGCTCGCACCTCAAGCAAGACACCAGTTATGTTTTGATTGCAACCGCCACAGATTATGATGCTTGGAGAGAAGGTCTTTTATATCATTATAACACCCATAATATTGGTTTGATACTATTCTTATAGGTGAAGAGCCGGTGACTGTAGCCGAAGTCATCAAGACATTGCATACAAATGCAGAGACATCGAGGTGAGCGGGCACTTGAGGGGTAATTAGCGGATTTTAAGAGATTGGTCATTACAGGAAAGTGGCAAGTGCCGTCATAGCTCAGTTACACGCTAGTATTCTGTCCAAGGAAATCGTCTCGGATGTGGACGGTTCTATGAAATATGCTGTGGTCACCCAGCCTGCCCACCAAACACCTGAGGATAGACAAAAGTTGGGATATATTCTTCCTTACTTTAGCGACGAACAAAACTAGATAGAACCGAGCAATTTATAGAAAGCAAGTATTTGAAAGCATTGTATTGCACAATTCAGGAATCAGTAATGTTCAGACCATCTAAGCTACAGTGTCGGTGGACTTCGATCCATCAACGACATTGAATAGTGAGACAAATCACAGATTTTCATGGTCTCCGAAAGGGGTATCTTAGAAGTTGGGGGCATCGAAGGGCGTATAATTGACTCGTCCGTAACCAGAGCCTGCTTGTTGATCAAGGGAAGTCCCCACTGATTGATCCATTGCCATCGGAAGACCATAATAGTTGGATGTAAGTAAAGTCGAGTCAGTAAAGGGATCTGACCAAAAATGTGGCATGGCTGTATTATTGCCATAGTCCCTGTAAGAACCTGCAGAAGCGCTCCTTGTATGGGAGATGGACGGATTAAAAGGTTGACGGACTGAACTACTATCGTTCGTGCCCCAAGGAGGGAGAGATTGCTCGGCCGATGTATTGGACTGAATGAATCCTCGAGGTGCACCGGATGGATCGTTTGCAGTACTATAAAAGGAACTTTGAGCCGATCGGCCTTGAGGATATCCATAGGAAACATCTGAAGGGTTTTCCAAACCATCGGCAAAGTTTAGACGGCTGGTACCTCGGACATGTGATAGTGAGCGTGAGTGTGCTAAACCCCGGTTCTGAGAATATTGGCCCCCCCTGTGTCTCTCCTATTGAAGAGGTCGGGTTCCAATAAGAGTCATCCTTTTGTCTTCTTGCGGAACTTGAGGGATCCGCCTTTAAAGTATCGATTCGCCGTACTGAGGCTCGACAACCCTTGATAAGTTCCCAAGCGCGACCTGCACTCGGCCACAAAACCGAAATCTCTTTGAGGGCCTCCATGGATTGCTGCAGATGACGAATAGTCTCTCCACTTTCTTCGCCTTGATATGATACTGGATTTTGGTCAATTGACAGACAAGCCAGAAACACGACCTCCTACTTACAGACGACAACATGCATAATTGCAGCGCTGAAAACATAGTAGCACAAAAACGGGGAACTTCTTCGGAGGCAGAAGATCCTTCGATATGCTTCTGTCAGCTTGCTCACATGGCCCGCTGCCCGTTTGCAAATATCAAGTGCACGAGCAGACGTCGCTCTGAGAACGTCTGAATCTGCTGGACTATTAACCGAATCTGGAGACTCTCTACGCTGTGGTGTACGCCTATGCAAACTTTACATCGTCATGAGAGAAATGTGAGCAACAATAGCCGAGAAACGTACAAGGGACGATGGAGTAGTAACACAGCATTCCAATATTGCATATTTAGTGTTAATACATGTGGTGGTGGTAGTTCATTGGGAGCACCGTTGGTGAAGTCACATTTTAGGATTTCCGGAAGGTCGAGATAGAATCGATCCAGGAGTTCCTCGAGTCGATTTGCTTCTGCATGTCGAGAACGAACAACCTGTT